TATGGAGCTGCTGGGTGAGGCGTGCCACTCTAACTCACAGGCTGCCTGCTCTCTAACGTTATGGAGCTGCTGCAATGTTTCCAGAGCTCAATTTACTGATATTAAAAAGTTCACCATAAATAAAAAGTTCTTCTAGTAAGCACAAGAAGAGATGCAGATACATGAGCATGTCAGAAAGAGTGAGTCAGCCAGGACTGTGCAAGTGGCACGCCTGGTTCACATGGACTGGCGAGTGGTAATCACTGACCATCCCAGGGGAAGATGGTGAGCTGTAAACCACACACAGCACGCCTTCCTGTGGTGCCGTACTCGAGGAGCAGGAGAAAACATTTTAACTTACAAATCACTGAAATAACACGGAAACCAGTACACATACACATTATGTTGAATTTACACAAAATTTTTCAGCTACAATTGAACATCTTTGGCCAGTGGCAGAGCTTGCTTATTACCCTTGTAACAAAGCATAGTTCGGGAAGAAAAATGAGACCAGATTTAATTCAGTATTAAATGAAATTCTGTCATGGAGATGAAGAAACCAAAATAGTAAAAGTTATTTTAGTATACTATGTAACTATAGTAATAAATATTATCTTAGAATCATGGATGTTTCAGTTTAAGAAATATAATGCCCTCATATTAATTTGAAATTTAAAAAATACCAAAGGAGAACATGTTCATCTCTGAAATGAAAATAAGGCAAAAAGGTCCTGGCTATACATAAAAATTTTAAGTTGGACTAGGAGTTTGTACATTTTTTTTCTATAAAAGACCTGATAATAAATATTAATTTAGGCTCTGCGGGCCATAAGGTCACTGTCAAACTACCTGATTCTCCCATGAGCAGCCCAGTAGCAGGCCGCCTGCTGACATGTTACTGCACAGACACCAGCAGCCAGAGTTGGCCTCAATTACATATATTCATCACATAAGAGGATATCCAAATGACATGAGAGTTTCCAATTATTAGACCATCAATTACAGTCTCAGCATTCCTCAGTACAATGCTGTTGTATTAATTAAAACAAATTTCTTAGTGTTTATTTACAAAGTCTTATTAAGAGAATTAAGGTACAAATAACAATCCTTACAACTGGGAACAGCACAACTTTGCCCGTGTGGCCTGACTGCTACATTAGGAATAACACCCTGCATTTTTTTAACACAGTGAAGCCAAAGTAAGATATCAAATAAGCTTATGTACATTCTCTGAGAGTAACACTCAGTATTTGAAACAGTTGTCCTCACCTCATTGATGCTAACTTCAGCCTCTACATACTGGAGGCCTTTCTGGATGATGGAGATCAGTGCAGCAGGTGGGACGAGGGCTCCATTGATGTTGGACTGACTGATATGGCTTTCTATACCAAAGGTAAACGCTGAGTGAGAAAATCCTAAAAGCAAAAGAAAAGGTACGAGAATTTATTTTCTTAAAGGCAATGTGCTAAATGACAAACACAAAAAATATCTCTATAATCTTTCAAAATTACATCCCAGCTGCTAGAAATCCCCAACTGATAGCTAGGGTCAAGTATGTTTTCAAACAAAACAAGTATCAAAATCTACTTGGTGGCTTTTACAATATTTTCCTTTTCTCTTAATTATTAAATGTACTCTTTAAAATTTACTTGATTGCATGGCTTCAAATTTTCTAAAATGCAACAGTGATAACCTACCTTTCCACACCATAAAAAATCAACTTAGAAGTTGAAAAAAACCTTTGCTTCTCTCAAGATAATCGAGGCAAATACAGAATAAATGACATTTAATATTTCTGTAATATATTTACATCTCTATGTACAAATTGTTAAGCATGCTTATAAATTTAATATGTTGCAGCTTTTACAAACCACTTAGGAAATAAAAGGCAAACTGTAACTAATAAAAAGAGCTAAATTTGAGAATGAAAAAATTCTAATCTGTAGGTCCCATTTTATGTATGCCTTAAGTGCTTTTAAAAATATGAACACTCTGTCACTTAGTAATAACTCATCTAAATGAAATATTCAGACATGAAAAGCAGGCAAATAAAACCCAGTACACACTAACCTGTGAGGGGACACTCATAGCTCTGACTCAACTGTATAAAACCATCCATGTGACCAAACATCTGTACCTTATAATATTGTGAATATTTTAAAAAGGCAAAAAAATTACAGCATAGTGATTCATCAGTAATAATTTATGTTTATTTGAAATATGTAAGATCATAATAATCACATAAAAATCACAAGACTAAAATTCTAGGACACTGATAAGCCTAAGGTTATCATCTTTACCAATATATTCATATTTTATCATTAAATATTTTCTATAATGTATTCTATACAATTCAATTAAATTGAATAGCATAGCATGCTAAAAAATTTAATAAACAGAGGTCTATTTGGGGTCCATACAACCCACAGAATAGCTCTGTTGTCTAGACTGCCAATGCGAGGTGCTAGCGTTTAGCCCAAGTCCTTTTTGCTCTTGAGACTCCTTTAGCATTTATGAACGTCTAATAAAACGCTGTGGCTTCACAAGCAGTGTGGGGCTAGGGAATATTTTAATTGTTAATTGATAGTTAAAGGATCCTTAGCTGGGTTTCCTCCTGACTCCCTTACTCTCTCCTTGAAGCACCTAACCATGTAACAACCTACAGTGGAAAAGAACTGAAAAGTGTTACCTTTAAGACCTTGATTTTAACCTCCCAATTTTGCCTAAAGGCAAGATCAAAATTAAATGCATTTATAATGCTCAGCTTAACCTGAGCTCACAGAGATGACTAAAAATAAACATTCTGAATTCTCCCTAGAATGAAACCCACAACTCCTCAAACATGAGTAGGTTCTAGATCAGCAGGGTAGAAGGCTGAGAGGTTGGAGAGAAAGGCTGACAGATGGAGTGAAATCCACAAACAGGAACGTTGAAGATTCTTATTTCCAGTAGCCCTCCCTAAATAAATTTGCAGTAAATTGTACATAGTAAAAACATCCAAACAACTGAGTAGTTTAGAAATTTAAGCAGACTTCAAGACAGAAGTATCATTTATGAGGGGACTACACCATGTGCCGAACACAACACACACCTGCACAATCTTCCTAGTTCAGAATCTGACCAGAAAGTAGCCACTAAGTAAGGGAATAGGATACAAAGTCAGAGATGCTCTACTTGCTGTGCTTTTTGTTGTTGTTATTGCTGTTTGCTTGTTTTTGAGACAGTCTCACTCTGTCACTTAGACTAGAGTGCTGTAGCACCGTAGCTCACAGCAAACTCAAAACTCCTGGGTTCAAGCAAACTCCCACCTCGGCCTCCCAAGTAGCTGGGACTACAGGTGCCTGCCATAATGCCTAGCTAGTTCTGTTTTTAGTAGTAACAGGAGTCTCGCTCTTGCTTAGTTTGGTCTCAGTGCTGCTAAGCTCAAGGGATCCTACTGCGGCTTCCCAAAGTGCTAGAATGACAGGTGTGAGCCACTGCACCTTGCCCACTACTGCTCCTCTTGAACAATTAAAATATGGTCATTGAGAAAACTAAGGCAGAGAATAAGCTCCTGTTTCCTGACAGAAAGTAAAAGATTACATCATTGTTCTATTTAAGTCCGAGTCCCACAAAGTGGTATATATGGTGCATGTAACATGAACACACTTTATTAGCCATATTTGGTACCATTCATTATTTATGAATTCCATGATGTCTATACTCTCCCTTAATTAAGTGTGCAATTTTAGTAGTGAAACTTGTTACATTTAGGCCCTATTTAACTTACAGAGTTTAAGCTTAAAGTAACTGATACATCCAAGAATATCTAAGAGTTGAAGGTGAAACGTGCCAATTTTTGGCTGGAATGTTGCAAATATCCTGACTGTTTATGTCAGGCCAGGAGCAAAGCTATTACAGGTGCTTACATGCATTGCGAGGTATTGCAAATGTGCTTAGAATGCTCTCAAACACAGCAAAACAATCTTGATGTCATACCATTTTGGGCATTTCTCACTAATGTTTCCATTGGAGTTCTACACTTAAATATTCTGCTTAGATAAATGTTGAGTTCAACGATAATTTTATTTCTAGTTACAGCATTACACAGCAGCTTAAAATCATTATGCCCAAAACTCTTCTTTCTCCTCCTTAAGGCTTCTTTTTCCTTAGAAACTTCTGGCTTCGTTTCATTACCTGTGAAAATCACACTCTCACTAACTCCCATCTTTCCCTTGGCCCCTCATATTTGACCAGTCACCAAATTCTACTAGACTTCAAATCCTCTCTAGACTCTCAGCACCCTTCCTCTTCTACCAAGACCTGAGTATAGCCCTCTCATCCTTTGCTCGGACCATCCCTGCAGTGAGTTCCTCTCCTCTCTGCCCCAGCTCAGTACACATGCCACAGTGCAGCTTCAGGCAGGGTGCTCACATCATTTCTTACTTGAACATCTGTAATGGTCCCCAGCCTGCATAACGAAGGCCAGACTCCTAAGGACAGCATAGTTATTTTTTCAGTCTGGCCCTACCTACCTCTCCAGCCTCCTCTTTCCAATTTCACACATCTCTTCTTGTTTCCATTGCACATTAAATCCAAATGATGGTAAATTGCATGTAATATCTTGAATAAGCTGTGCTGTATCATCATACCTCTGAGCCTATGTGTTCCTATGCTCCTTTCTCCTACCTGAATGGAGGTGAAATCTTCTTTCACTCCCCCAGTGTTGCTAGGTTTCTCCTGCACTGACCCTGTAATCCTACATGCATGGCACTTACCACACTGGTTATCACTTGTGTCTGACTACCAGCCTGGGCTTCCTAAACCAAGGGTTTATGTCCACTAATCCTTTAATTCAGAGAAACTAACACATTCCTTGACTTAACAACTAACCAATAAACATCGGTTAAATCCGAATGCAATGCTACTGTATGTATCTTGGTACATCAAACAATGTGACTCTAGAAAAAGTATGATGACTCAAGTCTTCCTTGAAAAATAATCTAAAACTTGAACCAGGTTTTTGCCAGAAGATATTCCCGTTTATCTGTTAATAAGCAGGAAATACTTTATTAGGACCGCTTTCATTTTACATAACAGGAGGCAAAAGGGATCATTGACCTGTGAAAGATTAAAATCCTAAACAACTGCCCGAAACAGCAATCCTTTCCAAGGGTAACCCAGAACTGATAGGTAACACTAGGGTAATTAAGATCTAGGAGGTAGAAGAAATTCCATGAGAAGAAGGGTGAAAATCATGAAATTCAGTGAATAGTCATTTAGTGACAAAGACAAATGGGGGGAGGTAGTCCCTCTGCCTCTATGGTGCTCTTTCTAGGGAGTGATTTCCCTTAGATCAGCGGTTCTCAACCTGTGGGTCACAACCCCTTTTTAACAATGAAAGTACACTGCGGCATTAAGGCTGAGACACTAGGACTGGGGCTATGTGTCACCGGGGAGTTAGCCCTCCAGAGCCTGCCAGCACTATTTTGCAAACAGATGGTACAGGAGTAAGAAAATGGACCCTAGATACCATGATTACGATAAAGGTAAGACAAACCGAGGAAAAGGCAAAGCATGAACATAATCACAACATAGTGCAGCGCCCTGGTTTAGGAAAAAAATCTGATTTACCCAAAGTCCTATTTCAGCTTCGGGTCACAAAAGCCCCTAACATCACATTCCTGTTTCCATAATCGTATGTTCCCTTGCCTCTGTATCAATTTCCAACTCTGCACCACAGATCCAGATCTTAGAAAAGATAAGCGGAGTGGGGAGTAGGTGGTGTTTATAGAGGATCTTGGCTATGGAGGAGTCAGACCCAGCACGCTCGTTCTGGCTATACAATTCTGTGTCCCAATTTTGCCTTTAAATATAACTATGAACATTTTATATAAATGATAGCTTCTGAAATAATTTTAATAGCACATAATATTCAGCCAATAAATGTACTCAGCCAATAAATTAGTCATACCATAGCTGGGGATCTGGACATTTCCAATGTTCACTATTTAAAGACTCACCCTCAAATAGGTATGTATAAGGCTTTTGCCATGTTTAATTTTCTCCTTAGGATAGATTTCTTCAAAAGCTGAAGGGAACACGAGCATTTTAAAAGAAGTTTTTGTGTTTGCCAAATGCTTTCCAAAAAAAAAAAACACAGTGTAAATTCATAGTGCCATGAGCAATTTACAGATGTTTTCTTATACCCTTGCTATGGCTAACTAGTTCTAAAATAAATAAATAAATAAATAAATAAAGGATACTAATTAAGATAGAACAAATTCTTGGTTTGGCAACTATTAAAAGGACCATTGTCCTTCAACAAGTGTGTCAGCAGGAATGTGTAATAGGAATTTCTTGTGTCATTAAAAAATGAGTCATTTAGCTTATAAAAAAAAAAAGGAGAAAAACTGATTTGGAAATATAGAAGTAT